CTTTGTTTAACTTTAATTGACAATAAATAAAATAAATTTTGACAGTATTTATCAATGGTAAAATTGTAAAAGTAAATCGTATTATGTTGCATATTATGAAACCATGTGTGAAAACGAAAAGTTAAAAATAAATAAAAAAGTATCGATACGGTAATTACATCTTATAGGATTTGTGTTGATTTGAACAATGTCTTCATAACAATCAAAACTTTTTATTTAGGCATCTGGTCTTAAATTTTACTTAGGTTAGATCAAATTTTTTTTTAAATCAGAAAAGTGTAGATACCTATGGAAAATAATATTTTGAAGCTATATGGATTCTATTTTTATACTTCTACTAAATTAAATTAAAATTTATTCTAATCATTATTTTGCGATGTCAGGGATTTAAAAATCTAATATAAATATTTAACTTAGTTGAAATAAACTAAATAAACTAAAATGTGGCAGGTAATCCAAAACATTTTAAGATTAAGATATCCTTAGCCTTTGATCAACAAAATATGTTGAACTAGATATTTGGCACATGACAAAACAATCGAATTTAATCTTTTTTGTTTTATATGCAAACATAATATGAAATGATGACTGGGCACTGGCTATTTGAATTTTCATTATAGGTATATAATACGTTTTAGACAAATAATAGGCAAACCGGATATAGTGTAGTATTTTTTTATCCGTGGTATTGTTGGTACTCGCGGTTAATGACCGAACATTATAGATGTATGACAACATTTCTTGTTGTAACTAAACATGATGACCTTTAAAGTAATTTACTTTATAAGCAGCCAATTACTTTTTGTAATTTTGTACCTGTGTGTTTATTAAAAAAAAAATAGAAATAGTGGCTCATTCATAAAAATTAAATGTTAATTATTGTTTATTTATTTTTAAAAGGTATATTTACATAACCTATTCAAATTTAATTTATTATTTATTCTTTGCTAACTGCAGAATCGATACTGCAAAACTACCTAGTTACTAGTTTCTCCACAAACTAATTTTTCACAAATCGTAGATCAAATGATTTTCTTATAGGTAACCGTGTGTCCGTATCTAAACCTAAAGTAAATATTGTCCAATTGTAGATTACTCTGATTATAAAAACATGATCAAAACATTTAAAAATACTCTTATTTAAATCGCATACAGTTTATATTAGTACATTTAAATAACATAGTAATATACTTTTTTATAAATTGTGTATAATTTAAATAAAAGTGTTTTTAAATGTTTTAATTATGTTTTTGTCTGATGTATAATCTTATAAATCCCTATGCTTTGAGTTCTTTCAGATTACAATCCTACGCAACTTAACGATTTGCAATTTAATGATATATTTATATATTAACTATTACTGTGGGCTCCTTTTTTAAAAATTTTAAATGATTAATTACATGCTTGTTATACATACATATTAAATTTACATAACACCTTACAAATTGAGAAGACAATCCTATATTATAAGAGTGTTGTCTTGATAGTTGCAGGTTCACTAAAACTTGTTTCTCAAATTGTTTATTTTACCAGATCGGTTTCTGATTAACAATTATAATTATATCTCTGTTATAGATAATATTTATTTATTTTTGAAACTTAATTAATATGGTTTATTATATATAGTATGAAATGAATTCAATTTATTAACATTCCGTCACCCAACCCAAAGATGTAAAAATTAATATTTTTCTTGTTCTCAAATCATTTTTATATGTCATACATAAATACGTTTAAAGCTTTAAATAATTAGATATTGTTTTCATTGTCAACCAAATAATTTATAAAATACAATTATTTGATATTTGAATAAAAACCAAATCTATCGCAAATATAGGTATACTATTTTAATATTTTCATTCAAATTACGAAAAAGTCATACTTAGAGTAGGATATTCTTTTTATTAAATAATTATTTGTTTAAACTATGTGAGTTTACTCTGGTTTTCAAATTTCAAAAAAATTACATCACATCAAATTAAACTAATCAAACACAGTACCAACCTTTAAGTGTCATCATTGCTAACTGAGTATTATCGATAGTATATTATACAGTTACATTTACAGTAGGTATTACTTATATCTGATACAATCGCGCGATAAATGATGTATAGTTAAAAGATTTAACATACCTATAAACATGTTATTAGTCATATTCATATAATATATATAATTAAAAATGATAGTTGACCTTGAGTTTTGTATGATCTGAATTGATAAAAAGCAATAGACCAAAAGAAACAATCGTGAGAATAATGTTGCTTACATCCATAATTATAAACGTATTAGCACGACTATTTACGTGTTAAGTTATTGCAGTAATCATTAAAATATGGAGGAAAACTTAAGTTTATTCAAATATATAAGACCCTCCACTATTCAACTATAATCAGAGATTTTTTTATATTTATACTCTAGTATTTCAGATTTTCAAATAAAAGTAAAAGTTAGATTAAATGGTAAATATTAAAATATGTAGTTCTTTTAAATTCAAATAGACAAAAGTTATATTTTGAATCCAGCTGATTGAAACTAAAGAAGTAAGTGTTATACAATATTTATTAGATTATCGTAACAACACAAAATAATTCACATTTTATTATACTACTTGATAATGCTATGTAATTTTGTCTTTGTATACATAACATTATGCTACTTTAATATATAAGTGATAAATATTAGTAACACAGTTTTTTAACAATAAGATTTATGAATAGATAATCAATTGAGAGTCATCGATGATTTATATAATAAACTTAATTTTGAAAAAAATTAAATTGTATTTCTAAAATGTTACGTATACATGTAAACATGAGAAATCAATATTGTGTATTGGTTATTACAATGAACTTGAAGCCATAAATTAACTGTTCATTTTCAAATTGCATCAATTCAAAATAATAATAATAAATCATAATACAAAGAGAATTCGATGTATCAATCCTTGGTAAATTTAAAACCAAATAACCTATAATCACGAACAATGAATAATAAATATATATAATCAGAAAATTCAACAATCTTAAAAAATAAAATAAGTAATATTATAATTAATGCGCCTCACTTTACATGAACGCATACATATTAACATTCATGTAGTATAATGTGTCCAGTCATTTATTTTATTAAAATTATAATAATATAACTATAGTTCTGGCTCAGTTGTTGATGGCATATATTTTTGTTCATAATAATATGTGAATTTAAGTTGTAGCAAATGTTTTGACAATAATTTTTCAATTAAACTCAATTTTACAATTATCGTATATAGAATTCATAATTAAAAAAATGAACTCCACAAAATTACTTTACAGTCATTTTCATTATTTTTAAATATAAATTGACTTATATTGGTTATATTAATTACATTAATTATATTTACATGTAAATTGTTAGTTTTGATGTATAGGTTATGATGATATGTGATTTTTAAAGTACATTTTTTACATGCAAATAATTAATTCGTTTGGATGTAAATGTAATTGAATCCGTTTACATCAATAGTTTGGCAAGCATTAACGTTTTCCTAAATATCATCTATTTCCCTTAATTATTTTACTTTTAACAATGTATATTTTAAACCGCTTAATTATTTTTAGTAAATATGTCTATAAAAGTTGAAAATCTAGCACAGTTAATTAAAATCACAAACTGTGTTATTGTCACATGTTTAGTAATATTGTAATAATAAATTAATAATCAGCACATATTTGTATGATGTACTTAAAACACTATCAAATAAATGTCATACTTGAGGTATAAATTTAAATTAATTATGCCTTTGAATGTTTATGTGTAATAAAATAGTTCCAAATAACGTGTCAATATTATTAATTATTATTTATACACTATACGGTACCACTTGTATACTAATCATATCCATTTGAGCTTTAAATTCAATTATATTTTAAATTTGCTTAAACCTGATACAAACTGGCTACTACTTAATCCATAACTAGATTCTATAATGTAACTATGATAATATACTTCCATTACGATTTTCAACAAGTAACTACTCTCAGACCTCTTTTCGTTTGAGTGAAATTGTTAATTTTTCTATGTAAGTACAGTTAATATTTATTCATTGTATGTATTTACTTAATAATTGCTATTTACTGTATTGGTTTTAACTTTTAAGATTATAATCCTAACAGATATCGAAATCTTGACAATTTAACTCAGTTCATGCGCAAGATAACCGACTATTTATTTTGTATGAATACAATACAATCTAGATATAAAAAGCTAAATATACATGGACCCTATTAGAATACAAATATAATTAGAATATATTATGTCATGAATAAAGCAGATATTCTGAAATATTAAATAATAATACTATTCATCTGTATTCTGTACCTACTTACTAACCAATAATCACCATGCACAGTAAAAATGTAAACTGAAATAGTACCTGTAAATATCAAATAAGTAATATGGCATGCACTAATTAGTTTATTATTCTGTTGTCTAATTCATATTCTGTTGACTAAAGATTTAATTTGGTTTTCAAATAAAGATCGATATAAAATACAGGCTCAGAATCAATTTTTTATTGCCTATAATCGTTATTATCTGAGTAGATAAAACACAGTGACGATGTTCTAAAAGACAGAGTAGTAATATAGTAAGTACATATTATATTTATTATAGTTATAGTATTCCGTGTAAGCTAAGCGTAACTAACTATATAACATTTATTTATCTAGACGATTGTAACGTTTAATATCTTTTAATTTCAGACTTTGTATATCCTTCTTACAGCTTATCCTGTAAAGTAACAGGCGTAGGTTTCATCATTGACTCAGTGTAGTCCAATTTAAGGTTATTATTCAATTTGAACTCCCTTTTTTTTGTGCACAGTTTATTGATGCCAAATAGTTACACGCACAGTCATCCGTACCTATATGTAGACACAGTGTTATTAAAAATGTTAAAAATTGTCTTGTGAACTAAAAATTAAAATTAAAAATAAACAATTAAAAAAATAGACGTCAAACATGACTGTAGGGAAAACTGCAAAAATTTCATCACCCTCTATGAGGAGACGAAAATCTGCTTTAGGCGAAGACGACGATTTGGAACGAGAAACAAAAGCATTAGCTTCATTTTATCCAAGTCCACCACCCGTGGACTTTGTTCAAAGTACAGTAAGTTAATAATGAATTAAACGTTCAAATTACAACTATTAATATAAATAATTTCAAAATGTTGAGAAAATTAAATGTTGTAAGTTATAACAAACTGATAAATTTAATTTTTTATACCAATGTAAATCTATAAATAAATTATTCCAAATTACTAATTGTTTTATATAGACCAGATCTTAGGTAAGGATATCTACTTCTGTTAACTTAATTGTAAAAATATAAATTAGATATTAGGAGGATATAAAATAATGTAATTTATTTATTGAATTTATTACGTAGCCATGTCACCCCGGCGTGTCAAATGTGTTTTTTAATTAAGATACATACTATTAAATATTCATATTTTTAGGTATGTAGTTAATATGTATAACAATTATAAATAACACATTTGTTTTCTATGAAAATGAGTAGGTAGAACAAATAAGACATTGATCTATATTAAAATACAAAAATTATTAAATGATTCATCGGGAATTATTCTTAACTTAAAAGAAATTTCTGCATAATATTATTTTGTCGGAATGAACAAAACTTAGTAAAATCAAAACTTATACTTAGGTACTTGACATTAGTATTGATGATCCCAGAGATCCCAGAGGATCGAAGTGTATCTTGTGTGATACTCCTTCAAATTTAGTGGGTGCAGATAATACTCTATGTTGGTTAGGACAAAAATACAAAATAAATGTTGTATGAGAAATTCAAAATTTAGGTTTAGATTTTTTTATTACAACTTGTGGAGTTTATTCTTTCATTATATAATTATGTTATACTTCTACAACACGTCAAAACAACAGGTACTAACATAAGGGATGGGTGCAATATTTTAAAAATTGTTCGATACACCGTAATTTTAGACAGAGTTTTCGCCTCTGCTTGAAAAAATGCATATTTATTATTATTATTTGTGTAGTTATTAAGCCAATTCAACATAAACATTTAAATAAATATATGATATTTATCATGATATAACGGTATTCTTTCCACCTTGACCCAGTTCATTTATATTCAGATCGTCTCCGTGTTTTATGCATTATGACAATCTAAGAAATCAAATCAGTGTCAGATAAAACCTATTATTATGGGTACTTAATTCATAGACTTTTCGTATCCTTCACTGACCGCAACATTCCTATAAGACATCTTCGATATAGAAAGCCACTAGCTAATAATATATTTTTTTAAACCCAGTTTATAATGACTTATGTTTACAGTTAAAGTACATAATATTGAACTAATTTAAATAATAGAACGAAGAAAAATAGTTTTAAATTAATACGAAAAAATTCAACTAATAAATTTTTGCTTTCATAATAAGTGTGTATATAAAATATGCAATATATATGAAACTTAATACCTATGCAATGCTGGTGAATATTGCCACTGAAATATTTTTTTGGGAGGCTTTTTCCCTTATACGATCTTCCTCATTGTGTCTATGACGTTATTAGAGGAGTAAATAAATTCAATAGTATAAAACGTGCATAATTATAAGCTATAAAAATATCTGTAAATTGTATTATATAAAATGTATACAGTACCAAAATCCAATACATTAAAATCAAATTTCGATAGAGTTATTAATAAGTTATTAAAAATTAAATTTAAGATCAGTAGGGTGGAGTATTACAGAGGTACCTAACAAACTGTAGGTTAGTGATCTACTATGTACTCCGATCATCTAAACTTATACGTATAACTTATCAATTCTACTCGGTTAAAATTCAATTTTTATGCATTGAAATTCCCAAAGAGGCATTTCATTTCAGACTATGAAATTAAAAATGTATGTTGTGATTCAAAAATATGAAAAGCTTTTAAAAAACATAATGATCAAAACTAGTAAAAATATTTGTTTATATTGACTTCCACTGTCCACTGTTAAAGAATCACTCAGTATAGTCAAGTAATCGCAGTCTGTTCAAGGCAAAATGCATTTAGTCTCGATAAATAATTTGACATTATAAAATACTATGAGCACAAAAATACAAATGAGTTAAAATACCTAAATTATTATTAAACAGATAGGCGACAAACCAACAATGAATTCTTGTATTTTTCCAACCATATAGGATAATAAGATAACAAAAAAGTATCTGAAATTTTGAAAAATATAGGTTTCTATAGTGTTCATTCACACTGTTGACCTGTACTACTATAAATTACTAGTCATACATTTTAAATTTTATGTAATAATACCATCGAGAATAGTAAGTTTGTTTAAAACTTCCAGTTTCTAATTGGGATTATAAGGTGAACGTCTTAATAATTCTACGAAGTTTATGACTGAATTTTATAAGAAAAATTGTCAAATTTTGTAACTAGTTTATGTATATATATTGTAACCACTCTTAGTTTATCTTCAAACTAAGTCACTTAACTATATTCAAGCTTGATCAGTGATTACAAGGCTGAAAAATCAAAATTAAAAAAAAACGTAAAGATGAAAAAATGTAAAACCCTAAATGCAAAGATTTTACAAAAAACTGTAATGGTATTTTTTGTAAATGAACCAGAGATAGACATCCAGATAGATTTTTAAAATATAAGTATTTCAAAGATAATGTTTAAAAATTCATATTTCTATGATTTTAAATTAAATAAAGATTTAAATTAACTTCAAACAAACTAAATATACAAGTATGTATTCTTATTTTAAATTGTATGTATATACTGTGATTACTTCGTAAGATATGTTGGGAACATTAAAAATTAAGCGAAATTCCTGTCTAGGCCCTTTAGTGGCCAGGTCGACACTGAGTAATCGTATACAATATTATAATCAATAAGTACTTACCTTCCACACCACAGCGTTATTGTATCAACCGGTATCTAAGTGAGTAGTGACTATAAGTGTAATGTAAACAAATCTGATAAGGCCAGATTAAATGATAGCACTAAACAAATTACGTATTTACGTTTACAACTAAATGTTTGAAATTATCATTGTCCAACAAAATCATTGTTAAGATAGGCTATCCGAACTTCAATAACTGTTGTGGTAGAAAAATATTAATCTAGTTCTAGTTGGTACTTTTGGGAAGTTAACATTTAAAATTCCCAGTACTTTTAATGAGGAAATTGAAAAATTGTAGTTTTTTCAAGAATATTTACGTAACACCAGTTTTCGATAAAATTAGGTTTGTTTTTTGATGACACTAATTCAGAAAGTCAAAATCTTAGAGACTTGAAATTTACCCATATAGAATTTTATAAAGGATTTTATACAATTTTAAAACCTTTTTAAAGCTTTTATAGACATTTTAAATTAATTTTTTATTCAAGGTTCCTCATAACTCATAAGTTTATTATAATGATGTATCGGCTTTTATGTCGTATGCAATATTGTTGACAAAAAAATTGTTCTACCTACTCTACATAGGAAATTCAAAATATTAATAATAATTTAAATACAATTCAAGACAAACTATCCTTGGAAATAAATGCTGATCCACTCCACTCGTCTCCTTCCCTCACAATCGTTTTTTTTCGTATACAATAAATTATAATGGAATTCAAAGGAACCATAGCCATACAGTGACTTACTCAATTACGAGGTACATTCATCAAAACCTACATTACAAAAGAAACTAGTTATTTGGCTTTTTTATTTTAGTACTTACTTACTTTTATTGATGGCATTACAAAACACTTATTGTTCTTTCGGATTATAGATAAGCGTATTATTTTAATATAGGCAATTTAAAATTATTTTGTATAGGTATTTTTAAGTGTCAATAAAATTATTGAAGTTCAAATAAAATGTTTTACAATATACAATTATTTAATCTAGTATGTTAAACTTATTTTTTTAATCCAAACTGTGAGGGTGGGATTGGTTGTCCCATAATGACTGAATCGATTACTGTATCATTCATATGACGTAGGTACTTCCCAACTTCTATATTACGATATTATTATTATTATTAATTTAAATTTGGTTTAGTGAATTCAGTATTGAAATAATTTCCACGTGTTATGATTTTTACGATATAGTACAATAGATAGCATGATGGTAGGAGGTAAGTCATGAAAATGCTTATATGGCAAGTCCATTAATCAGTTATATTTATAAGTTCATAAGGTGCATAAAGGGTTTAGTACGTTTATCGTCCGTAACAACTTGTTGAATACAAAATTTAAATTAAATTTTTTTATTGATAATTTAGAATATTTAAATGAGGTCGGGTCGACTCTTAGCGGATTTACTCTTTGCTCAAAAGAGTTTAAAGCTCATTTTACAAATTGATTCATTATTCAGAGTTACAAGAGTTAATTTAGTAGTAGCTATCAGATAACCGTGTTTATATCTGAATACTGATTTATGATATATTATATTATATGTTATGTTATAGCAGCTATAGATCTAAAATAGTATGTCCTACACAAAAAAGAAAATGTATTACTTAGATGCTATATTAATTGTTTTAGTAAGTTTTTATTTATTTGGAAAGTGTAATTTTTGTACACGATAAACTCGGGAAAATAAAAGTATTGATTTAATAAGACTATAATAACTAATTAACATAACAAATATTGATTTGAATTGATTAAAATTTGCATGCCTAATGTACATTTAAAATATTTATTTTCATAATATCAATATTACATAAATATAAGTTTTCCTACATTCTATCAGAATGAAACATAAATATGAGAGGTAAATATTTTTTATAGTTTTTTAACTTTGACATGAAGAATAATATAGATACTGAATAGCATTTATTAATTTAGTGCCTGATAAAAACTGTACAAAAATAAATCATCGTAATATTATGTACTTGAGGTATCTAATGGTGAAGTATCTAAATAAATTTATTTAAATTGATCATGCTGTACCCAACGAGTTTAATAAGTAGGTAGGTATGATAAAATATAAAAACCCAATTTAAAAATGTTGTCAAGTAATTTACCTATATAACAGAATAATATAGTTTAAATTCGGATAGATCACTTATAATTTGTTGGTAACATATGTATGATATATATATATGAATATTGTACATATTATAGGTATTTAAAAATGTTAAATGTTTTATTTATTATCTATTTATATTTATAAAAAATATAAAAGAAATAACAGTCAGTTAACTAATTACTAATCGCAATAATTACATGAGAATTAAATATTTCTTTTGTAAACATAGTCAATTTTTTATTTTGGGTGGTAAGAATATCACAATTCAACACAAATTTTAGTGTTCCTTCCGAACATTTTCCGGTTAACTTGGTAACAGTTTTTGAAGTTCAATACATCTATTAGAGTCCGTTAATATAAAATAGTGTGAGGTTTTTGATGCAAACGAATTAAAAATATTCTTAAATGTAGCTTACATTTTTTACTCAAAAAATAAAAAATAAAAAATAAATTAAATTACAAAAAAATTAAGTACTCGTGATAAACATGTCACAAAAAAAAAGTTAATCCAACTTAACATAATTAGAATATTATTATATAAGGCATTAGTTAAATACACCTATTATAGCGCTTTCAAATTATCGTACTAACATCGCGCTATACCACTCGTATCATAATAGACTATAAGAGTAGATAAATCAAAAGTTAAATTATTATTTATTTAGTTAACTTCTAAAAATAGATGTGTATACAATATAATAGTATAGGTACTATACAGTATGTACCATTACTGGAAATTCAAAATTTTGAGGTGGAAAATGATTGATTACCTAATACCTTAATAATAAAATTAGTAAAGAAGTTTGATCATTAAAATACTTGTAACAAATCGTAGGTAATATAGTTGATAGTTTTAATTAAAATACACAAAAAAATCCAATTTAAAAAACGGATAATTTTTAAAGCTACACTAAATGAATAATTGGATGCGTATCAATTACTAATATATACAAATATATTAATATTAAAATAAATAATATTCATCTCTCAACTTACAATGTACTAATGAACATCGACTTTCCATCAAACGCAATATGCAACTTTAGATACCTACTGTAGTTTTTTTTTTTTTTAATTCTGTAATTATTTTTGTAGTAATTATTAATTGAACTCAATACGTTTTTTCAAGATTAAAATTATCATTTAAAATTGAGTCACTTTATTTATATAATAAGTATACAGAGTACGACACAAATCGTTGACAATGTGGGAAATGTATTATGTTACAAAAGCCATATGAATATATTATGATCGTATAATACACTGATGTCTGATACACTATGTATATACCTTCACTAAATAAGGATAATTGATGTCTTTAAGTAGGTACTTCTTATAAAATACATTCAAACATATGGTCATATGGTTATAACATTCAATTATTTGACACCTATTTTGCTACTATTCATACATTTTATTATGGAAATACATCGTTCAGATCATAGATATTGATTGTATACATGATTCTAATTTTTAATTTTTTATCAAAATAAAAATATCATACAAACAATGAACCAGACATTAAAATGGTCAGTTAATAACGAATATACAGTAAGTGGTATTTATATTAGCAATAAATAGTTATTTTTATTACTTCTTATAGTTCGTTAAAATAAATAAATGATAAAAAAAAACATCTGAACAAAACGTTTATTATAATTGAACTGAAATTGAATAATATTTCTATAAATTTTCGAAATGCTAATTGTTATATAATATCATTTATTTTAACAAATATTATTTTATTTTTTGTTTTAACTTCTTATCAGCTTTTAAAACATTGCGATTGGATATGCATAGTATAAAACAACACTTTTATAATAGGTAACATAAAGTTATTATCTATTATATATTGCAATAAAATAACGATAAGAAGTGCACAGTCCATACTCCATACCTATGTATATATTTTTACTATGCAACTCGCCGTTGCCTACTTGATACTAGAATTGATAAAAACTGTTTTCAGTTCTCATCTTACGACACGAATTTAAGTCCTGAGTTTCCACTTAATAATTGCTCCCCCATGTCCGGCAACTCATTTGTGTAGTCTCACGGCCCAATGAACTTCGATAACTCACACTACACAAAAAACGTGCAGTGGTCAATGATTATGAATTGAATAATTAGAAGTTTAATTTAATTTAATGTCCTCGTTAATTTGGTACGTTTAATCGTTCAACAATAGTATTTTTTATTATTACTATGGAACAGATGTATGGACGTTACACGAAAGAATTGGGAGACTATGTCAAAGGAACGCAACAGAACATACCAGCACCTGTCATACACGGCGGTGCTAATGAAGAATTCAGCAAGTACGGCGGGAAAATCAGTTCCACTCTGGAAGTTGTATGGCGGCATTCGTTCGCCAAGCTCAGCGAAGATTGGGTGTTTCTCACGTTGTTGGGTCTTGTCATGGCCGTACTAAGTTTTGCCATGGATTACGGTATAGACTTCACCAACGAAGGTCAGTAGGTACTACGATATTTATAGGCGCTATACAAAATGCTTGATTAGTATTATAGCCAGTGGGTAGGTGCTATACGTCACTCTTAGTCATTGGACTACATACAATTGTATAATGTAATTAAATAGTACCTGTGTATTGTTCGTACTACATTTGAAATGGATTGGCATATTATACAAGAGTATTTATGCCTATACTACGACCGAATAGTGTCCTATAAAATACAATTCCATGAGGCCGGCCCTCTCAAGTCCCCATAGTTCTTCTGAATCCTCAAAACTTTTTTTTTTTTTATAAATTGCGATTTTATGTTTCATGCACGTGTTGCTTGTATGAATGTAATCGTGTAATCTTAAATCTGAGAATATGTATAAATATAGTGTAGGTATAACATTTTTCTGTAAGTGAACGACAGGCCACAAACTTAATATCTTATTTACAATTCTAAAAGGAGAATACTTACTACTTATGTATCATTTTCTGTAAGATATGTTGTTTCACGTGACTGAATAAAATACATTTTCGTGTTTTTTTCTAATACTTCGTTGAAGGAATTGAGTTCGGAAAATTTGGTTTACAGTACTACAACTTTTATAGCTATACCCATACGCAAATATATTTTGTTTTTTGTAATGTTATAGTTTTTTAAACAATCTATCGATAATCTACGATAAGCAATAATCTACAGATTACTATCTATGAATTTTTAAACGTTAATTCCAATAATAATTTTACTCTAATGTCCATTGTCCAAAGATAAATTATTTGTTTAATTTTGTTATTGTTCATAGCTCAATAGTTGTTGATAAAAAAAAATACCGATAAAGAAACCATTACATGCTTTCAAAGTAGAAATCAACCTTACTATTAACTGCTATAACAAAAGCCAATTAGTATCACATAAATAATAATGATAATAATATAAAAAAAGTTCTAGACAAAGGTTCGTTTTTTTTTAATTTAGCCAAAATTAAATAATGAGTTATTAATCCGAGTTCAAATTAAAGCAATACAAAACATTTTTTATAGAAATATTCACATAAACCAAAAACAATATATTAACATTACATTATTTGCTATAATGATCATTATATTTATATACTGTACACTAGATAAATTAGAGAAGGTGATGTAGACTGTACTTCTATAATGCCACTGTAATAATAATTATAACATAAAATAATATTAATATTATGATTAAAATTAACTGTAACATCTATAATTTATCGGGTACCTATATTTGCATCAGTTTAAGGATCTCATTATAATAGTTAAACAAGCAATGAACGATGCAAATATTATTATAATACATCGCTTAAATCTTTGTTTAGTATGTTGGTTTTTCTTTATTTTTAATTGTTAAAATCAGCATTTGGTTTTAATATGTCAAATTAGGTTACAATATGTAAAATTTAATAATTGCAATTGATAAAAATTAATAATTATTATTAGATATAGTGTGAATGCATGATTGTAAAATATCAAAATTAATTAATTAATAAAAACAATTACGAACATATAAGACATAACATTTCCCAAAATATAAGCTTACTTAGCTTAGTAGACTGTATATAATTGCACAAATAAAAAAACAACATGTTTAAAAACATAATTAAAATAAAATTGCATAAGTAGGTAATGAAATAAGAAACATTGGAGATAAGTATAAAATAATAAGTAATTTATTAGTTATAAATAACCAAGTAATATTCAGTCACAATGATGATAATAAAATTTAAGTTTTGCATTGGTGAATTAATTTTTCTAATCAAATTTGTTTGTAATTAAATTGTTTTAGTTAATTTTAATCGTATATCGAAGTATAGAATTCGCTGTCATTTTGTTTTACAGCGTCATAAGCCTGGTGATAATAACATTTTAATAATTTATCAATTAATTAAATATTCTGTGGTCAGGAAGAATATGGCTATTCAAAGATATGGCGTTCAATCAATATGTGCAGTACATTGCTTGGGTTCTGCTACCAGTCAGCTTGATAACATTCGCAGCAGGATTCGTACACTTAGTTGCGCCTCAATCCATTGGTACGCCACACTACGCAATTACAAATCTGTAAGCAATGCGATTACAAAATTCTAAAATGGTCGATATTTTTTGTTGTACATAGGTTCGGGAATACCAGAGATGAAAACAATATTAAGGGGCGTAGCGTTAAAAGAATTCCTCACCTTAAGAACTTTGATCGCCAAAGTTGTCGGAGTTACAGCAACCTTAGGTTCGGGTTTACCTCTCGGCAAAGAGGTTTGTGCTCTCAAATATTACCATTAGAGCGTATAAATGTGCTGGTGTAAACTATATCACTTTATGCGACAAATTTCAGGGCCCGTTCGTGCACATTGCCAGCATAACGGCCACGCTCTTGACGAAAGTAATAACCTCGTTCAAAGGGATCTACGAGAACGAATCGCGAAACACGGAAATGCTGGCCGCGGCGTGCGCGGTCGGGGTGGCAAGCTGTTTCGGGGCTCCCATTGGCGGTGTGCTCTTCAGCATCGAAGTAACGACCGTGTACTTCGCGGTGAGAAACTACTGGAGAGGTTTCTTTTCCGCAGTCTGTAGCGCGACCGTGTTTCGATTGCTGGCCGTATGGTTCAACAAAGCCGGTGAGTATATTATACAATAAATTGTTCAGCCTTCCCGGAGTCCCTCGTCTTCAATATAGGTGCCAATATAATACGCATACCATCGTAATAAATCGTGATATATATTGTTATCACGAGTTTATGATAACGTCGCAAGTCGTAAGGATAAAAAAATTTCATTTTTTTATTATGACCCCCCCCCCCCTCTAAACTTTTTTCTGTGTGCGTGACTGCTATCTTGTGCAATAATATGTGTGTAAACCTGTTTAGAAACCGTAAAGGCTTTTTTCCCGACCCATTTCACTATGGAATATCCATTCGATCCTCAAGAGTTGACCGTCTTCGCTTTACTTGGGTGAGTGTCTATATACATACGTCTGTGAGGCTTTACGGTTTATATTACGTCTATGCGTATGTGACATGTGTGTACCTTACACGCCTCGTATAATTTAATACGTATGTACCTAATACATAACGACATTATTCCGTTTTGTAGGGTAGTCTGTGGAATTATCGGAGCCGGTTACGTTTGGGCGCACAGACAATACGTTTTGTTCATGAGACAGAGTAAAAGTATGAACTCTTTCCTACAGAAGAAGTAAGTGAGTATCATCACACGATCGTATTGTAACATTTGATATTTCACGCCGTGCAAAATAGAAAAACGTATTTTGATATTTACATTTGCCTGTTCATACATTATGTTATAGCCGTTTCTTATATCCAAGTCTCATCACGTTTCTCACTTTGACAATCACATTTCCACTAGGCACCGGTAAATATATTGCTGGTGAACTGAACGTACACGACCAAGTAAGAATGAATAATAATAATATAACCCATTGCACTAACACCTTACATAGGCTTCATTTTGCATATTGTAAACTTCTTGATTATTTTTCTTTTAGTTAACCGGGCTGTTTAGTAATTTCACGTGGACAAAGACTGAGTTCACCATTGAGGAGGCAGAAATGATGAATCACTGGCGAACGGAAAACACCAATGTTTTCATATGTTTATCGGCTTACATAGCTTATAATGTAATATTATGAAAACATACCTATAATTACTTTTAACTTACCAATGAGTAGTAATGGTTTTCCTCCGGTTACTCAAGCAAGTTTGTTTTCAGTTTGTGTTCTCTATAATAGCATCGACCATTCCAATACCATCTGGTAGTTTCATTCCAGTGTTCAAAACCGGGGCCGCATTCGGTCGAATAGTTGGAGAACTCATGCACTTGTGGTTCCCATACGGCGTTAGACACGGAAAATTCATCACGCCTATTATACCAGGTGAAACCCGATGAACCAATTTATAAAATTCATAAATTAACAGTTTCCAATGGCAATAATATGTCTGTGAAATATAATATGTTTAGGAGGTTATGCCGTAGTCGGAGCAGCAGCTTTTGCCGGGGCCGTTACACATTCCATATCAGTATCTGTAATTGCTTTCGAAATGACGGGACAGATCACTCACATTGTACCAGTTATGGTATATTTTATCTTTAAAAATTATATTAATTAATTGATTATTATTTATTACTATTACCTGTATTTAACTGATTAAACTCCATGAATAATTTATTAGATCGCCGTGTTAATATCAAACGCTGTAGCAGTATTATTACAACCTTCGCTATACGACAGTATTATACTAATAAAGAATCTGCCCTACTTGCCAGATCTTCTCCCGTCCATATCAGGTACAATTATTTATTTTAGTTTATTCTGTGTAATCAAAACTGTTAACCTGATAATACTTAACTTCTGTTTATAGGTATTTACAGTGTGTATGTAGAAGATTTTATGGTCAGAGATGTCAAGTACATTTGGTATAATATGAGTTACAGAGACCTGAAAAAAGTTCTGAGGGAAAACAAGGTTCTAAGAGTGTTCCCGCTAGTTGACAAACCAGGTAAAATCAAACTGTCACTGTAAATTATCGCAACACAATAGGTAATCAAGTATAGGTATAATTCAATGTTATGTTATATTTCAGACTCGATGATTTTATTGGGTTCTGTGCCTCGAGTTGAATTAATAAAACTGATCGACAGACAAGTGGGTAAAGAAAGACGGATGCAGGTAGTCGCTAAATGGCAGAAAGAAGCACAGGAGAGACTTGATGAAGTAGAAAGAAGAAGAAGGGAAAACAAAGAAAGAAGACCTTCTAGATTCGAAGTCACTCCGGCACCGGATACTCTACAAAGAAAGCATTCAATTAGTTCTCAATCACTTTCTACAAATCCCATTATTAAGGTATGCTAAATTTTACATTGTACACACTAATACTGTTTTTGCATCATACACACGTCAGTACCAGAATCATATACAACCATATTACTATATTAGTACCTATATATTATCACACGACACATAATGTTTATAGTTTATAAATATAAAATTATAAGTTAATTCCGTTTTAGTAATAAATACGAACCCAATGAACCCATATTATGCAATAACAATTGTATCAATTTGCCCATATACACCCTGATACTTAATACAAATTTTGATTTTAGGTACAATGCAGTTCTTCATTAAAAGGACATCCGAAAAAATCGATTTTAAAAAAGACAAATTCGTTCACTCTACATAACCTAACACCAATGATGACTCCGTCTGCGACACCTTATTCGACAATAACTGGAGCCGAGAGTCGGTAATTTTTATTGATTATCATTATATATAAGGACTTTTAAATTGTATATACAAACATGAATATTGTATACATTGGAATTTTAGACATTGCAAATGTCCACAAAATAATATTATTGTTGCTACTTACGTTTTTATTTATTTATTAAAAATGTTAATTTGCCTGTATTATATTTTAATTGATATGTTGTTTATAGCATACGACTAGCGTTCGAAGCTATATTTCACAAATCTGCAACACTTCGAGATGCAAATCCGGAACAGCAGAGCTTGACAGATATTACGGACAAGGATAGGTGTTCGTCACAAATCATACAAGTGTCCAAAAAAGTTCAACTGGTACCTACAACTTAATATATAAAAATATATTTTAATTATTTATTGTCGTCGTCGAGATATAGTGTACCTCGCACAATGTTTTATTTGCTCATTTTTTCGCAGCCCAAGGAGAGAGTCATCGACATGTCACCAGAAGAGCAGAGCGAATGGGAACAAACGGAAATGGACAAGATTTTAGATTTTGGTTCTTGTCACATTGACCCGGCTCCGTTTCAGTTGGTTGAGAGGACGTCATTACTTAAGGTCCATTCGGTATTTTCGTTGGTCGGTGTCAATCACGCTTACGTCACTGCCATTGGCCGTCTGGTCGGCGTTGTGGGCTTAAAAGAAGTTAGTATTTAAAACACTCCGAATTATTAAAAAACATTTTTAAACGAATAAAGAATTGAATGTACTATTATTTTGTAATAGTTGAGAAAAGCCATAGAAGACACCAACTCGGGAACCAAACTTGGACACCACAAGACATCAGGCTTCCGTAGCGCTGCGATGGAATCACTGTTAAGCAATCGACAGAGGGACGACGACTTTGATGTGTAAATTCTATATAGGTACATTTTATAAAGGCGTTTCAATACTGACCGTTTTTTTTACGAAAATATTGGTAGGTACCTATCTTTTGACCAGCACACACTGATAAGATTAAAGACATCAATGCTTTATGAAAATCAATAAGCATATTGAAATTTGTTATGAAGTTTCTTGAATCGATCATCCACATTTTAAAATTGTATTCTCTTTCTCTTACCTCTTATCTTCCTATTAAATTGTAGCTTAAAATGAAAAACAAAATGGAGAATTTTCACTGAGATAAATCATAACAAATTCAAATATATTTTCAGATTTCTTATAGTATTACTAAATTCTTCGATACGTTGAGCAAAAAGTTAGTACAAAATGCTTTTTAGAGAAAAATAATATTACTTGTCGACTATAGCTATGGGTTAGTTACGCGTCATGTGTGTCTGTGTGAAAAGTTTTGTACACTACAATTACACAGTCACTCATTAACTATCACATAATACGCCACACCACTCACTCACACACTTAAAAAATTGACTGAATCGAATCCCATAAAAACGGTTGGAATCGAATCTCCTTTATGAAATATTATGTAAGGTATCATAACTTTGCATTAAATTTAAAAGTTAAAACCACCTTACTCATATTTTGATATGTTTATTCGTTGTTGTTAATGTTGTATAATATGAAATATTATGAGTACCTATTGTTGTATAATAAATACTTAAATATAGGTACGTTGTAACTCTGTAAAATTTTAAAATAGTTAATACTTATATGTTTAACACACTGTCACACTGTTCGGTATGTGTGTATGTATACGTCTAAATACTTACCATTAATTTAAGTTATATTATGTTATTGTTTAAAATATTAATCCTTCGTTTAAGGAGGATAACATAATACCACATAATTTGTTTTTTGCCTAATTCAAGCATAATATGCTCAATAATAATATAGCCACAATGGTACTCCGTAAACTTCCACGATTACGACTCAATGGTTAGCTTAAGACAAATCAACCTATTATACGTTTTATAAAGAAGAATATTTTCTATGTATTTACCGAGATACATACTGCACATATTATGAGAGATTATTGCTAATTTTATTTCAATAATAAGCCTATCACGGCGTTTGGGATAGGCAATATGGCTACATTGCTGTGGTGTGTCCATTTGCGTGTAAAAACTATGATATCACACAGTACGTAAATAAATCGAATATCCCAATATACCTACTATATGGCATGCTATATTGTTAAGTTAATGTTTTAGGTAGAAAAATAGAAGAAGAAAAAAGAGTGTTTCAATCACATCACTTCTATACAATAATAACGTTAGTCAGACCGAGACGTCTGCGGGAGCGATAGTTGACGACGAGGAGCAAAGGCTAGTGCGCGATGTCGTGCGAGTCGACGGTTGACGGTGACGCTCTGACCGCGGGGACCATTAAACACGGAGCTGATTAATTTGGTGCTGCAAAATCGGCGGTGACCGGACAAGCGACCAGACCGATGTGGGTTTACCGCTGAGCGAAAAGGCGAGAGTCAGCGGGCCAGAGTCGGTTTCGGTAGTTTTCACCCTGGCGTTCAGTTTAGTCTTCGTCCGCATCAGTGGAGTCGTGCGCTGCCGGACCCTGAAACAGTTAGGTTTTCGTGGGTCCGGCGCTGCTGAATTCGGTGTTCCTGGCACATATCTCTACCGCTCACCCCGCCGTGCCTAAAGTCTCAGCCGTGCAACTGCCAACAACTATTTGTTCGAGAATATTGAGTAGTAGTACGACATTTATTGCGTTGATTTCATGGTCAACAGCCATTTTTTCGTGCTTGTATAGTAGTTTTAACGTCTGATAAAATTGAGAATTGCCAGAGCCTGTTTAAGGAGTTGGTCGCCAGTAGGTTAGGGTTGATTTGGCACCCCTGCGAATGATCGGAATAATGAAAAAATTATTTTGTGACGCCCCCAATTTAACATTGGCCGATTGGCGCCCTAGGCTGTAGCCTACTCAACCTATTGGGTAATCAGACCATAAGAATTGCTAATGAGCAAAATACATACCTTCCAATACCGCAGAGACCTATAAATTAGAAAACAACCCAGACGACAACGTGCGTTACTAGCCATCGAGCACGTTCATCGTTCTCATCGGCCTGCAGCATTTGGAATTCGTGAGCGTTTAATTTTTTTTAAGTACATTATTATTACCTATCGATCACAATATTTCAACGAGGATTTCCGGTATTACGGTTTCTATTATTCTACACCCGATTTATATTTTAAGAAAAGTCTAGTCTTTATGGGTTGATACATATGTTATAGAACATTTTACTTATTACAATAATTTAACTATTTTAAAAGTTAAAAAAAAACCTGGTTAATGGATATCACTCTGCTGTACATTAGGTGTCTAGAAGGTTGCTGTAATGGATGGTATTAAATTTGAATTCAATTATATGATACCATTGCAATATTGCATACGAAAAACGATTCTCAGCCAAGACGATATGCGAGTCTAGGATATTTTATATTGTTATTACTTATTATTAACACGTTAGTCGGCAGTGGTGGATTTACGGTGGGGTGGGGGTGGGGGGTGTCCATGGGATTTGGACCCCCCCCCCAGACACAGATATATACATATATAATTAAATAATGCTTACCTACACAGTCTGACCCAGCAGTAGGTATACCGTATAACATAATAATATATGCAAATATATCAAATATGAGTAGATCGGATGATTATCAAGAATTTACTGAAATAATAATATAAGAAAATATTTTACAATCGTATTTTAATAGTTTTGATAAAATCGTCCGTCATAACGTTAATTCCCGATATTCTTTTGTATTGCGATACTGAGTTTATCTGCGTATTTTTCCACTAAGAGGGCAATATTATCATTACACTATTTCTGTAATTGTATACCTACTATTAAAATGTATAGATTAGTTGGCCGCCGACAATTGGCATTTGACCATGAATTAAGATATATCTTAATTCGTGCATTTGACACTAACACTGACACACTGACACACGATAAAACGCAATAGTCGATGTATAGAAAATCATAAGTGAGTACGAACTTATTTTTCAATAAAATGCCGTCTAAAAACCAAACATCCATTACAATTTTTTTTTTAAACCTATTCAAACTTCAAATGTTAATCAAACTAGTACCTTAATAGAAAATGTATAAAATCACTAGAACAAAAAGAACTAGACAAAACCAAAAGAAGATTAGATTTTATTTTGTAAATTTTTGAATTTTAGAATATAATTTTTTACATTTTTGAATATTTTTTTTTATAATTTTTTTTGAATATAGTATATATATAATATAAGTATATAACACATTTGTTTTTATAAAAATAATACATTTGAAATACATATTATTTTTTAGGACCCCCTCCCCCAGAAAAATTTAATCTGCCACTGGTAGCTGGTAAGTTGAATTGAAATTATTCTTAAATTATCAGTGATGCTGGAAAAATATAAAATATACTAAGTGTCTAATAAACAATATTGGGCCGTTTTGGAAAATGATTACAATAAAATGATAAAGGAATGTTATTCTTTGTGTTAATATGTAATTTTGTCCAAATTTAAACTTATGATGCCTGTAAAAAATAACTGCATTTATATATTTTTAAGTTATGAAAAAAACTACTTAAAAGGAACCTTGTTTTAAAAGTTCAATCCTTAGCTATAAAGCTGAAAATTTTATACATTTTGAACTACGAAATCATTTTTAATTTTCATTTTGATAAATATTGTCAACATTTGAACTTTAAATCCTTATAAAAGAAATTCATGCCTATGAAATTCTTAATATTTTTCAACTGCTATTGTAACAATATATCAAGAGTTCTGTTAAAATTGCATACTTTTTTACCCAACTAATAAAATCAAATTGACATTTATAGAAAAAAAAATGTCCGCCAACATCTAAAATATTTTCGAAATGTTATCAAGTTCATATTTGAATTGACGAAATTAACATATGGTGTAAATTTCAAGTGTCTACACTTATTCGTTTTTCAATTACAACAAAATAAAAAAATCGCTACATGAGAAATCGAGTAAATATCCAATGTCGTAAAAATTTCAACTTCTAACGCTCATAAAAATTTAATTTTACTATAATTATAGGTACGAAATTACGAACACCCAAAATTAATTATAATACCAATATTACTTTTACAGTTATCAGTAGGTATGTATAAATGCATAATATTATATGAAATTCTGACCCTTACCTTTCATTTCATCGTACAAGTTAGGTAAAAAATATTATGTAGATATACTGCAGTACAATTATTTTAACATTTTCGATCCTTACCAATACTATCTATCTGTCGATGTTGAAAAAATAATTTGTCACTATGGTAAAGATTAAAGGATATGAAGTAAGATAGATATTATAGGTATCTATATCTTAGTTCATGGTAACACATTGAGTGAATAACAGTTTAATTGATACATCCAATAGATCATGTTTAGCTCCTTTAGCTTAAAAATTAGAGTAAATTAATTTCTTACAAAATGTTAAGATAAGATTTATATCCAAGGTACCACACTAGGCTTTTCATTATATTTTCATTTTAAAGTGAACTACAATTATATTATCATTTTTAAGTTATGATAATTTTAAAAAGATATCCTCTCAACCATTTTTATTTTTTATGTTCACACAGCATACACTCAATAGCATACAATAGCAGAATAGACCTTAAGGAAAAACCAGTTATATAGATAAAAATTAAAATATAGTCTGTTATAAAATTAACATTTATTTTGAAAATTGGTTAAGTAAAACTACTCATTTAGAGGTCTTCAACTTGTTTTTAGTTGAACTCTTCTGGGATCGTAAAACTTTAACAACAATTTTCTGTTCTTCAACCAAAAACGCTCTGAGGATCCTGTAAAATAAAACAAATTATACATTAAAAAAACCACTAAATCATTCTTATATGCATGTATGTTTAAATATAGAATAGTAGTGTTTCCCAATTTCTGGTTGCGAGGAAAAACTTAGTACTTTAAGTACTGTCCATATTATAATGTGTATAATGTAAAGTGTTAAAACTTAGAATATAAATATTGGTACATAATTGGCCATTATATAATTCATACACAAAAAATAGCATTCATTTTACAACTAATGTTGTGTATACAACAAATTAGTCTAGAACTAAAATAGGACCAAACCACCAATATCTTTGGCTCCAATTATAAAGTACGAAAAGGGGAATACTTCCCATATTCTGCTTTTGGCCGCAGTTAAAGATAATTATTACTAATTATTAATATGTTGTGAAATAAATTTTCTTTTCTTTTAAATTTATTTATGAAAACATAGTATACAAACAAATTTAATTATAGAGAATTCATATAATATATAACATCACAATTTGAAGGATTTAGTATTTTTATGAAATGTACAGCAACATGTAGCCTTAGGTTAAAACTTTTAAGTTCTAAGAGTGTTCAATGCTGTAATTACTTTAGGGAGTTTGTATCGATTAAATCACTAATACTTTTATGATGCAACCTTCTTTACTCCCTTATGTTAGCACACTGTATATTTTCTCTCTCTGGCCCACGTACAACATAAACATAATATATGAGAAACAATTTTTTGTGAATGCATTGTGCTGTGCATGGGTTAGAAAGAGAAAACAAATATTGCACTGACATCCTCTGTATGTTTATGATTTAACTAAAATTAATTAATTGATAAAAATAATATTATTAAAATTATCTTTAATTATATGGTACATAATTCATATATTTATTTCAAAATAAAAAACAAAACATGGTTACACTATAGTAACGATAACAAATGACTAAATAGAAAGATAAATGTATATCATATTTATTAGTCACAGAAGAAAGCGTAAATTTGAAAAACATATTTATTATACAAATAATCTTTAAAAAAAGTTACTATATAGGTCCAGATTGCTCAAAAATACGCTTAACATTAGAACTCTAAAAGTTAGCTCTTATTTAGTTTTCTGTATGGCGTTTCAATAAGGGGATGTACACAATCCACACATGTTATATCTACTATTAATTTATTGATCAAAATTGTATCCTACTAGTTTAATTTATTCAGAGTTTAAAGTTAGAAGTATTTTTCAAGATTATGAGTGGGGAATTTGATTGTATATGTATTATGGAAGTCTAATTCAGCTTGTACAATGTTAAAATACAAGAATAAAAAAACAACTGTAATTTAATCGTACCTCGTAATCATACAAATCTTGGAACACTAAGTCCAATAATATAAGGAGGAATTTGTTTATGAAGTAAATAAATAATTTATTTGACCAACTTTGTTGAATTAAATATTATAGGAAATATATAAACACTATATTCTGGTTTAAATGTTTATTACTAGGACAATTATTTATATTTAAGAACTCTAAATGTATAACATTTTTCTTTATATACTCATTATATGAATCCAGCTAATCCGTTTTCAAGGATACTTATACATATTGGATGAGCTTGCAAACCTGTTATTAATATTTTGTTCGTTTGTTTGCCAAACAAATATATTATATTAATTTGAAATAATGGATTCATGAATATCAATAAATAGCATACTGAATGCTATTTAACTACAAACTTCTAATACAATTGAACCAAACATATATTAAATCGTAATAGCATTTTATACTAACAGATTTTTAAACCTATGAAAAATATACTCTGAAACAAGTAGGTACTCAAGTATGAATAAAGACCAGGATATATTATACCTTACAACACTATAAACAGAAAATAGGTAACCAGCCAAGGTTTTAAACTATGAAGTTAAGTGTACTAACCCAAGAGCATCTAATATTCAAATTAAAACCAAACCTGCTATTTAAATCAAATTGATAACCCAAAATAAGTAAGTAATAAGTAATAAGAAATAAATAAATATGTTGAACTTGACACAATACATACTTTTCACGGACACAGCTATGACATAAAACTCCACCGTATGCTCGTTTTACTGTCTTCTTGCGCTTGCACATACGACTCTTTTCAATGGCTCTAGCCGGCTTGATACCATGTAACTTGATTTTACAGTTACCACACTTGGGTACACGCTTTGGCTTCTTCAAGTATTGATATACTAATCGTCCACCGGGAGTGCGTACCCTGAATCACACATAACATTTAATTTCACGCGAATTAAAACAAACAAAATAAAAATAGTAAAACAAATCAAGTTCTCGAACCGATCGGTAATGTTACTCACATACGCCTCCTGTTACTTTTGGTGTTGTAAGAAAGGCGCCTCCTAAATACTACACTTTGACCCATGGTTGGTCCTGAAAGCAATTACAAATCAAACGTGAAAAATGGAATACTAAATGCACGACTACAAGGGTTAGTCGTGAGACATTATTAAGATCAGGTCGGATGAAAAAAATTTACTTTACCTTTTTTGTGCCAGTGACGGAGAAAAAGTAATGAACGATCCGCACACGATCACCAGTGTGTGATCGGCAGTCAACAAAACATTAACCAATAATGATAACGCGAAGCGTGAGCATGGAAGAGACCGAAACGCCATGGAAGAAAAACCTGCGAAAGATGTTCCTACAACAACTTTAAATTTCCCTTTTTTGATACACGACTATCAAACTATTCAAACTACACAGGGAATAATAATCATACACATTTAGTAATTACCTCGATACGCATACGCACTACACATTGAATATCATTTATGCAGGTGTGAGTGTAATTGTGTGAGACACTAAGTTACACACTCGATCAGGTGAGTGGTGAGTTGACAAAACGAGTCGTCGAATCAATAACAACATTACATTTTTTTGCATAACAAATAACAATAATCGATTTGTTATTTACTATTTTTACCTACATAACATACCGCAACAATTAAGTTGTGTCCATCATTCACCTGGCCCTTTAGCCTTGTATCCATCTGGTAACATACTGACATACCGACCAAAGTACCAAATGCGTCCACATAATTACATAAACATTTATCAGTAATAAGTAATCACTAACAATTGTGATCTCTATCGTAACAAAGATAAAATTTAAAAACAATTATAAATAAATAATAATATTATATCTTACATCATTGCTAGTCGTGACCTTGACATTTTTCAATTGAAAATACAATTGTTTTTGGAACACTTTCCTACTTTCAATTTTTTTTTATAATGAAATTAACTTTTTACCTACTGTATAGTATTGTTAATTTATATCGCCAATTGGTTGTCAAATACTATATTAGGTCCATCCACTTTGGGTTGGCTTGAAATTTATAATCATTTTTAACTAGAAAGGATCCATTCCCTTGGCTATTATGAGAACAGGGGGTCAAGTTTAATTGAATTCTAGGGGGACTTAGTCACAGAATAGAACTTGCTCTCCATTATCCGCCTGTATGTCAATTGATAACATTTAAAAAATTTAAGAATACTATTATGGTGGTATACAGAAACAAAATGTTAACAAATTTTACTTGAAATGCAAAATTATAATTGGTCAGTTATATATTTTATACTCCAAGGCTCAAATGCAGTAATGTTAAATGTAATCTAAGCAAGAAAATCACAAAAATTAATAGTATCTCGTTTGATTAACACCAAATGACAAATAGATTAATAGACTCATTTAAATTTATCAGCTTGTATGATTTAATTTACTCCTATTAAATACGAGCATTTTTAAGGATAAATAATTAACGGCTAATCTTAAAAATTAAAGATGAACTCAATATAATTCCATTCATAACAAAAAATGTTTTTTCACTAGTTTATTAAGTTTTATTTTTAAACTATATGAGTGGTTAAATAAACAAATACACAAGTGTAATTACTAATATATAATAAAGAATTTATTTAAAATAATTATAAATATATACAGGATGAGTGACCAAATGTTTGTAATGCTAATCATTTCTGAAATGGCAAAATAATTTGAAATATTTTTACACACAGAATTAGCACACCAAAACATTTAGCTATAAATATCTTATAAACAAGTCATAGTAAGCTTAATAAAAATAATAAGAAATCAAACAAAGGTTAATATTTTAGCAAAATTATAATATACATAGTATCTAACAATACATAAACATGTCATACTTATTATTCGTAATATAAAATAGTTTTTATACCACCATGTATGAGAAGCTTATATTATGAACATAATAAATAATAATATGGTTATTATTATTTTTTTTTTTTTGATATAATATAATATTATGTATATTATATTAACCAATTTTTAATACATTTTATAACTTTTTTTAGGTCATTATGTATTCAAGGAGTGCATTTTGAAATGAACAATGAAAAACAACCAACCGACATTTCTCAAGTGTGTTACACTCGTCCATAGACATTTTCATCACTATACGCAATGTACAAGAAGTAATCTTCTTCACGGTGATCCTGCATAAAAAAAAAAACAATTTGGATGAATAAATGGCATTTAAGTATTGACCTTGGAAATACTTACATTATACAATGATCCCATTGTGGCACTGGTTGGTGGAATGACGTTATTGACGAAAAAGAACAGGGCGTCTTCGGGACGTAAGTGAACGCGCTTTCTGATGAGGAAGTAGAATTGGCCAACCGTTAGGTCGGAAGGTACGAGGTACTTTTTCTTGTCGAGCTCGCCGATACGCGATTTAGGTGCTTTCTCAACGATCACCTGTAAAATAAAATTAAAACGTAATAACAGAATAAAACGACAACAACAACAAAGGCGGCGGCGAAGGAGTCATTGAGTAGAAATCCGACATTGACCTTTGCCTCTGTATAAATAAACGAGAGTCATGTCGTGGACAATGGCCAACAACACTGCGGAGAAAGGAGTTAAGCGAAAAGGGGAAAATTGTTCGGGACGTTTAACGAATTCCAAACCGCCGTCGTCTAACTCCGTCTTACCGGGACCCTGTCGGGATACTTCTTCCGGATTTTTTCGCCCTCAGTCTTCCTTTTCTCGAAAACGTTGTCTTCTTTGTACTGGAACTTCATTGTGTACCGCGGAACGGGACAAACGGAACGATACGAACGATAGACGACCTGGCAAACGGGAACGGTCTGTATCGACTGACGAATGACGGAGGAACGGGAAACAAAACAACAGCAGTTCAAACGCAGTAGACGGACTACAGTAACAGTGGTAACAAATAACAATGACAATATACGTCGTTAGCATCTGGCTGGCGGGGCGCGGGGTTTGTTGTTTTCGTTGAGCATGGCCGTGCGGGGCGCGGGCGTCAGCTGACCGACGGCCTTACCAACCGTGCGACCCCCGCGGTAGACGGCTGTGGACGGCCACCGCGGCCGGGAGGACGGACGTCGAACGGCCTACTCGTTGCCGATGAGTGGCCACCAGCCCGGGCTCGAAAAGGACCCGAATTCGTTGTCTGTCTGACAGAACCCGTTGGCGTTTTGAGCTCCGCGATTGCTGGACCTGCGCGGGCCAACTCAGCTGATCGCTGTGGAAACTGCGACGATAATAACTAATAAAAGTATAAAAAGACCCATTGGCCACTGCGTACTGCGCAGCAGCGGCGTCACAGCGGATGACGGCCGCCTTTGTTCTCGTGGTTCGGCGGTGCAGCTGAGTGGCTGACGTCCGCGTTGACGTAGGTCCTTGTCGCGTAATCGCGCTATACGTAAATATAACTGCGTACCATTGCTTTGCCGATAAACGTGCGACCTGTCCGCTGTTCGTCATCAAAAATTAATTTTGGAAAATCTAAGCACCAATGCGTACGTCGGGTAAAACTTTTCGAAGCTCCGATATCCCCGGTACCTTGTTGTTTTGTCCGGTGTTTCTACGCTGATTTCATATTATTTGCAGTGTAAACAATCAAATAGGGCCTTTCCTTCTAAAAAGTTCTATGTTAAAAATAAAAATGCAGTATTGAATTCACAAAAATGAATGAGGATTAAGACATACGATTTGATACCAAATGTTTATAAAACAAATGTCGATTGCTTTTAAACTCGTCTATGATAAGATAAAGATATAACTTGTATAACATCTAATTCTGAGGCTATTTTTTGAAAAAGAAATCAAGTTTATAAAATAATATATTGAGTCATTTCAGAAAAAAATGGGCATTTAATTGAAGTTGCGGAGTGTGCAGTGGCCCAAGTGTACGCCAGTTGCATAGTTTCGTTACACACTGCAGGATTATAGAAATTACCTACGATGTTTCTGATTCAACAGAAAAAGCCGTTCAAAAACGAGACGTGTAAAAACTAAAAACTAAAAACTCCTATAGGATCGACTGAAGAGCGAAGATATTGTACATAATATTATTTTTAAATTTTAGACTAAACAAATGTCCCAATCTTAAGTTAAGTATTAATGTATTAATATCTTTTTATTCATATGGAAACAAGAAACTAGAGAGAAAAGTGATGAGTAGGTAATTTATGGATTTTTCATCCAATACCAATGTCAGTTAGTAAGAGTTATTCCTCAATAATTAATTGAAAAGAAAACTTGAATTTTCTATTTAAACACATTTTTAGCAGTATTTTGTATAATTTTATATTATTACCTATTATTTTTTAAATTATATAATTTTTAAAGTTTGATACGTGTTGTTTGACGTAAAACAACAAACGCTTATCGCTCATATTATAATATATAAATAAAAAAACAGTATATCATTCATTATTATCTCAGACCAGTTTTTTTAATGCAGTAAATATGTAGGTACCTACCTAAGAAAATGAAATACAACTATACAATTAATTTGATATTGTTGATGGAATTTCAAAAAGTTTTAGAGCTCCCTTTCAGTCTCACACAATTTTCTTCTATATGTGACTATGTGTACGGTGATGGTAATGGTAATCATCAATAGTGACCTTCGCAATTTACAATTCGATTGTTTAATTTCTTCTTAAGAGGACACTACATCCTCATATGTTGTCTCCGTCTTACAAACGTACAACATAGCAATAACTGTTTTGCAAAAGACAATACTATGTATAATACTCCCTCTGTAACTATTATAAAATTACCAAAATTCCACAAAGCATAGGGAAGAACTTTATCTGTGTCGTAGTTTTTATTATTTGGATAACATAATTAAAGTTATCAGAGAATATTAAGTTGTTTATTGTTTTTTTTTTCATTTAATTATAAAAAATGATTGGTTAGTGTTATTAGACTTATTGGAAGTTGTCTCGTTCAAAACTGTTTTTTTTTATACATTTTTATTTTCCTTTTAAGTTATACATATTATAGAAAGTTGAGCTGGCGCCTGATGCAAGGAGTGCTTTAGACATGACATTTTTACAGATTTGTACCATAGACTGATTGCTGTTTCTAGATCAAAACTATTAATATTTTGATAAGTTTGGACACATTTAAATCATACAATTTTAAAATGTCCATTTCCCTTTAATTATATGGATGTCCTTGACGATACAAATTAATATCTTAGACATTTTACTATTTTAGTACCTACCTACTTCATGTTGATTATTTTAAATGATATCTTCTGAATTTCCTTCTGTTAAATAATATATAACTTAAAGTTTTTTTTAATACTCTCTTTAGTGTTTAGTCCTTATATTATATATGTATGTATTAGTAATGCCTACTTGTTTTTATTTGTGTATATGTGTTAGAAGTAGAACGAATGTTAATTGCATATTAAAAATTCGTTATATTGTTTAAATGATGATAATGTATGAATTTGTAGGTTAACACTTCATGGTAAAGGGGGGGAGGGAGCTATTGTCAGTGGTAAATCATTTTTGCATTCCTCGACAATTTCTGAAGTGACGCACATACATGGACACTTCAGTTTTCTCTCGAAAATTCACCAACCATAATTATAAGTTAATCTTAAGTATTTCAAACGTGTTGGCCGAGTAACAAGGATACATTATACGTTGGGCCACAATTTGAAAATGTAATGCGAGGCTCCTGTATATTGTGACAATAGCTGTTGATAAATATTTTACATAGGCATAAGTTTTTGACAACATTTATCAAATTCAAAATGTACAAATTATTTTAAATTGACAATTTATAAAATGTTCAACTTTTATAGCTAAAGATTGAAAATTTAATATTTAAAACAAGGTTGCACGTTAGTAATTAATTATGTAGGTAAACAAAAAATATAAATGCATAATTTTTTTTTAAGTTCAATTTTTGACGAAATTACAAATCTAAACCAAGAATAACGATTTTAGTAATTTTGCTGTAATTTAAAAATATTTTTTTGTTTACTTGAAACTTTCAGAGTAAATATATAATAATATTTTTTATAATTTATAAGATATACAAATTTATGGGGGGCCGTGGCCCGCCCAGGCCCCCCTCCCTGGCGCCACCGCTGTTTATACACGAGGACATTTTCAAATTCAATTTTTTCGACAAAAATGTATTTAACCTACTAAAGATTAGCACTAATGGCTATTATATAGTATACTAAAATAAATTATTTTAATCACAGTAATATCATTAAATATATCTACTCAGTTATATTATAGGTATATTACAGATCGTCTTCGCTCAGTTTCGTTTTTCATAATCATTGCTTTTATATCATTAAATATTCAAATCTAACACATCCATTACAGAGACTCTAGATATCTAATGTTCAGCAGAGCGACATCCACTGGCCCGCTTTTTTAATCTTGACTTGTTTTGGTCGACGCAAAAAGCTTGTTTCTGGTTGAGTATGGTTGATATAGAGAGACCACGATTATTTTCACCGTGAAATATATGTTTTTACGAAGGCCTTATCTGTAAGGGGGGGGGGTTGACATCCCCCCCCCCCCGGAAATTGTTCGTGTTATATTATGTGGTAATAAAATATTTATATATTAATTTATTAAAATCCAAAATAAAAAAACATTGTACCTAATACTAAGTGGACTAAACTGACATCAATGATACTCGGTGGGTTGAAAACCACAACGGAATTCAAAGAGTATATTAAAATTAGAATACATTTTGTAGCTTAAAACCCCCCTCGAAATTAATTTCTAATTACGGCCTTGGTTTTTACTAAGAACAATTTATAATAATTGTAGTATCTAGCTAATATTTTAGATTAGATGTAATATATATATATATATCTAACATATTTTAATATATTGTATTATTAATTACTTTTTGATGGCAACCAAACATCTGTTAAGTCGCCAAATTATTGGTCTTAATAAGTATCTATACTTTTCCAGAAATCAATAATTATGTTATGCGGAACTCAAGAAATACCTTTACCAATATTCAAAAAAAAATGGAAAGCCTCTAAAAATTGTGATCGAACAACATTGCTGACTCTCCGTCGTCCAACAGCCGTATCAAAATTCAGAGATACTGTACCAATTCCCAATTATCGACCACCAAAAAACTCTCTTCCATCATGGGGATTCAGAAAATTGGACGAAAAAATTCCAATGTATCACGGGAACACTCCATCTGGTCCAATTGTCTTCCATAGAGGACCTATGGGAAAGAATCCTTTGCAAGCAGATACAAAATTAAGTTTTGTGTTAGGCGATCAGTATAAAATATCACACAGATATAACATATTACACGATCCACATTTAAAACACTGGGTAAATTCGCCAATTAATCAAAAATTTCTACGAAAGCAAGGACTCATAACTGAAGACAATGATGTGATTTGTAGCTTAAATGAGTACAATGAGTATAGAAGATTTTTATTCCGCATACATAATGATTCAATAATGCATATGCAAAAAGTTAAAGACGCAGAAAGTACAGATCTTCAAAAAATAGCCATCGCAAATTGCAATCATAAAAAAGAACTATCAAAGAAATTAAAAATGTTGAAGTACGATAAGTCTAAAAATAAACCACGAACTGTAAGTTCAATGATACTAGTATATTATTATGCATTTTTAATAATTTTTAATCGCCTGTACCGAGTTAGTTCAAATAATTACCAACATACATCGATCTATATTTTTCTATAGGTCCCTAATATTTAAATGAATATAATTTTCTCAAAATTAATGAAGTGGTAGAAGATAATAGACACATTTTAGCGTAATTCAATGTTGTAGTTTGCATTGTAGGTACCTTCAAATCTTTATTGTGTATGCCTAACGTATATTTTATTACAATTTTTATATTTTAACTCATAAAATATTTTGAGATTAAATTGAATGAGTATTTTCATTTAGTTTCCGCCAATAATTATTGATTAGATACGTAACAGCTGACTTGCAAATGTTCGTAGTAACTTCGAAATAAATGTTTCTATTAAATACATATATCTCAATATTGAATACAATTATATACTTACATGTATTTGAACATTTTATAGATGAAAAGTAAAAGAAACAATGTTAAGCCTACATGTAAACCTTCAAATAAAGAAAGAAAACAACCATTTAAGAAAATTGAAACGTATACTGTGTTTGGACCAGGCTTAGGTGGTGTAATTGACCAAAAAAAATACCAAGGTACCTTTATAAAAGGTTCTCCGAATGATTTCTATTTGTTGGGATTTTTTAATCATTTTTTTAGTCAACGTCAATCAAAATTTGAAACATAATATTTAAATATAAAATATCATACCAAACATCTCCAATCATCTTAAATATATAGATTAAGTAATCTTAAAAATACAAATAAAATATTCAATCATTTCTAGAAAATGGAAATAGAAAAAAGGGTTTAAGTAGGTAGGTTACCACTCTGCACAGTTGGTCCCGAGTATACCTCCGACGTCGTTAGTTGTTATTGAGGAGTAAGTCATTGTAATGTATGAGTAAAATTTGAATTAAATTATAAATCATTGCAAATGAAAAAAAAGCGAATACCATCAGCCTCATGCCCTGTACCTACTACTCAGTATATATATATATACAGTGGATTCCGCTTAATGCGGGCACGTTGGTACCAGCCCTGTTTGCCCACATTAAGCTGTTGCCCATAAAAACCGAAATTTGTTTTTAAAAAAAATGTATAGTAAAAAAGTTTTTATTTGTATTATCATATATGTAATTGAAAAAATGTTAAATAATTTCTAGGTATACAAATAAAACTAAATACATATAATATACTAAATAAAATGTATCTTTGGATCTATAGAAGGTATACTTTCGATAAACACAATCTCATAGATATTCATCATCAAGAGACTAAGAATAGGTCACACCAGAATAACTCATGGTTACCAAATGTCCTGAGATGAGCCCCCCTCGCGTATGACGTGCGGGCCGAACTCACAATAAAACACATACTCACGGAATGTTTTGCATACCTCGATGCAAGGACCGCAACATTTATCCGGTGACTTATATAACATACTTGACCAGTCCTGCCATCACCTAACATATTTGTGTTCCTCCAGGTGACAGGATTGAACTAACTCATTTAACCTTCTGAACAACACAACTTTAAAATTGAAACTCTTATTATTATTATTTTTTTTTTTTTTCAATGCAATATTTACAATCTATACAACAAGTAGTACAATAAGTCAATTTGATAATAAGGCAGTATAATACATGGCTTGAATGACTTGAGGGGGGAAAACCGTCCATCAACAGTACCTCCTAATAATGATGGGTTCTCAATGGAGACCGTTTTTTTTTTTTTTATTGGGCTAGGCAAGGGCGTCTCTTGGTCATTTTCTTTTTGACCTTCTAGGAGGGTTGTTGGGAGAGTAGTATAAAGGAGGAGTTTGGTTGTTATCATTTGACATTTTTTTACTAATAACTTGTCTCTTATTATTTAGTCTAGACAATTGTTATTATTAAACCTTTAATATAATTATGTCACACTTATTTGTAAAAAAGAAAAATGAATCTTACCCAATGGCCCTAGTTGGCCTAGTTGCCGTACCTAGTTGTTAATCTCACAGATACGACGAAACCCAATTAAATTAGTACTTTTTAAATACATATGTGTATAATCTAACGCTATGATAAAATAAAATTGCCCACATAAACCGAATCGAGTGTCCATATTACGCGGTTTTATTTAACATCGTTAATATACATTTGTATTGGGACCTGACATGTTTGCCCACAATAAGCGGATGCCCATATTAACCGGTGGCCACATTAAGCGGAATCCACTGTACATTATAATTTTTTTTTGGTATTGCAGTAAATTATTTTACTATTAGTCATACAGTAGGAAGGTTGAATTTATTTTTGTTAAAACATTGCCTTAGAAAATGGCATTATGGGTACAAAATATATTTTTAAATTACATCAAAATAACTCCAAAATTATTCCAACATTTTACACATTCTTAACAAGGTAACTTAAAAATTGAAAATTATTTTCATATTTTTGTGATTTTGAAAAATGTAATTGTTCCCAAAAAATGCATTTTGTACCTTTAATAGTTATTTTAAAATTGCTTTGATAATAATTAATAATAGTATCTGAAGAACCTTGTATTAAAATTTCAGAGCAATTTTGGTGCCCAATGAAGTATTTAAAATTTTTAAATATCAGTCCTCTATAAAAATTATGGAAAATTTCCACTCGTGAAGGTTCTACCTCATTTTTCAATAAAATTTTGTCCAATATCTGCTATCTCGAACAACAAAAAATATTTGAAAAATTGTAAGAATAAGACTATTGATGTTATCTACTAGGTACTTAAAATCGAACAATTTACTTAGATCTAATTGATAAATCCTTCAAGGATCAAGGTAAATCTCTAAATAAAATGCAGGGTATAAAAGTATAAGTGAGTGTTACATGATTACTTAGATCTAACTAGGAAAACAGGAATCAAAATGTAAAAATAAATATTATCTAGTATGTAATTGCCTATTTATAGTGTTTAATATACATAATAAAATGCGGATATAACTCTAAACAAATAATTTTGACGATTAATGTAGACATGTAGTTATACTATAGTTAGAACTTAGAACGTACATAATATAATAGATTGTAAAAAAATTGAAACTAGGTATATAATGGTATATTACATAGCTCTGAAGTTTATTTTCTCTGTTCAAAGCAATAATAGTAAATATCAATAAAAACACAAATTGAAAATAAAAATTTTAAATAATTTTGTTAAATAACAAAATGGAAAAATGTTCATTGCTATAAGAAGAATAACACTTCCACTTCAGATCTTCTAGCCATTCATTTAATAGGTTCCTATTATAATAACGTTAAATTATATTAGGTAGGTAGGTATATTAAAAATAAAGTGAATGGTACCTAAACACAAAAATATATACTATATAAATTCAGATATGATTACGTGGATGTATCGTTAGTTAAAAAATACAAATGTGGAAATTACTAGTATTGTTCGATACCACTACTTTTTATTGAGGCCTTACATAATCCCTACTTCCAAGAACCAGAATAAATTATGAAGTATGGATGTATGAGAATTAATTTTATTTTTAGACATGTATAATATTAGATATGTAAAATGGTTTTGTGTTATGAGCATTTTTAAATATTGATATTCTACATACTCATAACTTGCATAAAAATTAAAATATCATAAGAAAACAAAACAGTGAAACACAAATAATGGAACGTTCAATGTTTCAAATTTTATATGTTGTGTTATAGGATGACAGAGACAACCTTGTGGGTTCAACGTCCTCTTAGGATGAATAAGTCGTTAGTTTTAATCACAATTATTAATTAAATTCTGATTAAACTGCTTGTAAATTTAAATAATAAGTTATTCAATGTTTTTATTTTTAATAAATAAGTTCAGATTATACTTGTGAATTTTTGTTTTTACATTAGTTAGTCACATGTTATTATTCTGATTTACAACAGTATTTGCTCTATATAACTATGGGACTATTTGACTTATTACTTTTAAAGAGAACCAAACAATTTACAAATCCAATAACGGCAATTATTTATATAAAAACATATAATGACAGACATCTATTACTTAAATAGTCAAATTTATTTATTAGTAAATCTAGTTGAATATTGTGAAGAATTTATTGTTCATTTGTTTTTTAAATAGATGTAATGATTCCAAATAGTTTTGAGTCATGTATTTTAACACATATTCTAAATAAATTTTGGTTTAGGAACAACAGATAATAATTAATTTTAGAAGGTTAGGTTGGTTTTTACAAATAACATTTATTTCTGTTTCTACAAAATGTCTTGAGGTTTTATGATTCATTAAAAAAAAAAAAAACATTATAAAATACAATTATTTCTTCAATAAACCTCTTGTGACTACATTTGATGGCTTGTCGTATTTTTCAGTACCTGGTAAGTTATAATCAATTGCTACAGACTTTGCTAGATCAGACAGTGCCTAAAAGAAGAAATTTTTAATTTAATCATTTATTATTAAAATATTAAAAAAAACTATTATAAGAAGTTAGCACAAATAATTGTATACAAAATAAGTTATGCTTACTTTAAAAGAGTTAGGTTCCCAAATAGCTAAATCAGCTAAAACTTTCTTGTTCAAGTGAATGTCACATTTTGATAAACTGTCCTTGAAATTATTTATTTCAACCCCATGTTCTTCACACCCAGCTTTAATGCGCGTGTTCCATAACTAAAATATTAAAATTTTTAACAAACAAAAAATATTTCTTCACAAAATATTAAATAAAAAATCTGTTTTAATTAATTTTAAATATTGTAGATACCTTTTTAACAAGTTCATGAATATTTATACATACCTACATTTTTGTTAGGCAATTAACTAATTCCTTAAATGTTGATAGGGAATTATCAAAAACTAGCATTCAATACTCACAGATCATTAAATCTTCACAGAAAATAAATAAGAACTATTATAAATCTCATACTCAGAAAGTATCGATCAGTGAATCGCTATTTGACTAATGCAAAAATGTATTTTTAAATTTGAATCATGAAGTATTTATACAAGAGCATAGAATTATCCTGAACACTGAATAATATACTTGCTCAAGTTAAATTATAAGTTAATACAAATACCTATGTATGATACAATATAAATAATAGAATATTATTATTATCAGTGGCAAAGTGCTATAATAGGAGACAATGAGACATCATATACACACTTAATATGCAGACAAATAATTTAAATAATAAATTTAATAAAATCACACAATCTAATCAAAACATGTTTCTTGCTTTTGAACTTTTCATGTTTTTAGTTTTAACCATTTTAAGGTCATAAGAGGAAATGGTGCCGCGACCTACTCCTTGAATAACCCTCCATAATAAGAAAAACAAAAGCCGGAGTGTCACCAGTGGGCGGCTTCTTCACTCAAGTCCCTCTGTTATATTTTGCCTTCTTTCTAACCATCTATTATGCTTATTATACTAAATATTGTATAGATTGTATAAGTCAAATAAAAGTAATAATAATAAAAAAAAACTATTCAATAATATTCATGGAAAATTTAAAACATAATAATTTAATTGGACTTATTCATAATCAATTTTTGAAGAATGAGAAAATGTTTTAAAACTAATTAGGCTGATTTTTAATGATATTTCATAGATAAATGTCAAAATAGTTTTTAACTGTTATGTTTTAATTTGAATTAGTAGTGTTTAGTTAAAGCATACTGCATCATTTCAATATTTTCCCAGATATTAACTTTAGCCATTGAGTGTTATGTTTATTATTTGTTAGCTATTAACCAATAGCTTAATGCTGACTTACCTATCTCAAGTAAATTTGTTTTCATTAAGCCCACCTTTGCGTATTACAGATATTATATTACCTACTATAATTTATTTTATAATGTCACTATTTTAATTTTTAATAATTTTTGGTTTAATACATGGTAAACAAACACGGTAACACTGATATAGCAAGAACTACAGGATAACGCCAAACTATGTGTATTTTAAGAAAATACTTGTTTTCAATCTATTTTACATTTGTAATTGTTAATTATTTAATGAAGTAAAACTATTTAAATTTAAAGTCTCAAAATGACTTGAAGTTGTGAGCATCTCCAATAAACCTCCTAGTTAGTATTGTCTTGGGTAACATTATTTTATTCATGTACATTAAAAAAACTCCCAAAATATAAGTGCAAAATATGTATAAAGAGTACTGAAAAGGAGCAAAAATATAGGTTCTAAGGGCTCTAAAGGCAAACTTTCACACAATTCTTGATTGTTAAAAATATTAATAGAATTTACGATAAAATAACTACGTTGAAAAATGGAAGAAGTGGTATAATGTTACGTTCTAGGTTTTACTCTATAATAGGTATATAATACTCATTTTGCAGCTTACATCAATCATATCACTTTTTCGCACAGTCCGTCCAATTGTAGCAAATTGAAGTGCACGGTGAACCGCCTTAATGGCAATGGAATAACAATTTCTTCGACGACCAGAAAAGTGCTAAAAACATATGTGTGAAGTACAATATTATAATTTGTAGGGGAGATCTATTCTTGAAAGTTAATACATTTCATTAAAATCTATTGGGATTTGAGGGAATTATTCAAATGATCATATGAACATTTTAAATAATGCCCATAGACACAAATATTAAGACATTTTAAAACATTTAAAAATATTATTTACAGCTGCAATTTTGAAAATTTTCCTTTTTCTCCAAAACTCATCTGGGCCTCTACTTCTCACCATCATCATTGCCGTTGTAAAAACCATTGTAAATTACAAAAAAATCCACGAGTACCTATATGAAATATTAATATTAGATACCTTTTTAAAGTTCTTGGGTTTTAAGATTATACCTTTATTGTCCTTACACTTTTCAGTGTAGATTAACAGGCGAATTTACAGAATGCAGAATGCAGATTTTACTGATTTAAGATTCTGATTTTTAATGAAATTAATAAAAGTACCGAAGTCCTTGATAAGAATATCAGTTATCACATTTTACCACGATTTAAGATAGTATCACCATCATAGATAATAAAGATATGGATAGGCCACGCCTATGTTAAATACATTTGAGGCCGCGTTCCCGGAGGGGAAGGCAATTGAGGCTCCTTTATATTGATAGTCGATACTCAATATAGGTATACTTTATTTGTCCTCAATTGTTCCCCTCGAAGACCGCTGATAAGACCAATATGTCCTATCCATATCTTTATTATCTATGATCACCATAGACAGTATGGTACTATGGTCAGCATGGTCGCACAACGAGCTATGATAAGGCGGCATTCGATTTAAACAAAATAATATATTATTAAAAAAATTATTATTATTATTATTATTATTTAATAATATATTATTTTTTATCAAATAATAATATTAAGTTATTTAATATAATCTCTGATTTAAATCCATTGAATTATATAATAATAATAATAATTATATAGTTCAATATTTAAATCTTGATCCAGGTGCTATATAGTGCATTTAGTGGACTATTTTAACATTTTTGTTACCACTATATTATATGTATACTAATAAGCACGATTTAAGATAGTCTAGAAATATTAAATTATCCTAAATATTTAAATATTATATTTTATTATAATATTAAATATTTTGCAAAATATGTAAGACTGGATGCACGTTATTACTTATCACTCTTTATTATGATCACTCGGTTTTGGATGAAATTTTTTTGCGCTAATTATTTTATAATTCAAAGCGCATTTGAATATCACTGAACTGGTCAGTCATTGAAATAATGTTTTAGAGACAAATCTCATCGATGAGATTTATAATATACTAAACGTTACGTTCGTATTTCGATTTGGACAATTTAAGGAAGGTTTAGATAATATTTAGTCTATCAAACTCTCATAATTCCCCGGACGTATAGGACTATAGGTATTATAAGCATTTCGCAATGAGTATCTACTATCTTTCCACCGCGGTGCTCGGGTCTTATAGACGAAACATGATAAATATCAATCCAAAGTCAACTAACAGGGCCAGCCCTGACGATAACCTCGATAAATTTCGAGGGTTTGATTAATGACAAAGAAATACTCCTAGCAAACATACGTAAGGAAACACTGTGTGATATTATCTGTATCCAGGAAACACATAAAAGCAATGACCGGAATAAACCAAAAATCAGAGGGATGCATTTGGTAGCTGAAATACTACATGATAAACATGGAAGTGCCATTTTTACCAAACCTATGTTGGAAATAAAGTCATCAGAGCTAGGTAATAAAATTTTGAAGGACCAGCAATTTTAACGATAGAATTAAATAAATGCACAGTTACATCAGTATACAAACTACCAAATGTTCCATTTACCTTCCACAATCCTGATAATTTTAACAATTCAAGAACAAAAGTAATAATCAGTGACTTCAAAAGTCATCACACAGAATGGGGATATGAAAATACAAATTCCGATGGAGAACGGGTTGAACATCGGGGGCTGATGGAAACCGACTGTCGATCATACATAATTCCAACCTACCTCCATCCTTCAATAGTGCAAGGTGGAAAAAGGGGTATAACCCAGAATCCAGATTTTATTATGGTAAGAGAAAACATAAGACAGCAGTATGTCAAGACAGTAGCAAAACCAATCCCGCGTTCCCAACATCGGTCAATTGTATGATCAATAAACGCTGCCATTAAACCCACAATAGTGCCAATGAAAAAAAAGTTTAATTTCAGAAAGGCAAATTGGATTGCTTTAGAACAGAACTGGACTCGAAGATCACCAACCTTGCACCAATACCACTGAAAATTACGAGACTTTTATGAATACAGTTAAAAGAGTATCGAGAAATCATATCTCAAGGGGCTGCAGAACATAATATATTTCAGGTCTTTCTTCAGAACTAACAGAACACATGCACACATATACCGCAATGTATGAGAGGGACCCTTTTGGATATGACACTATAAATAAAGGTGAATTTTTGTTAGAAGCAATAGGTACAGAAAGGAGAGCAAATTGGATAAATTTAGTTAAAAGCATAGACATGAAACACAGTAGCCATGAGGCATGGGGCTTACTGAAGAAACTAAATAACGATCCAAAACAAAGGAATTCACAAAATATAACTACACTCGGTCAAGTTGCGCACCAACTTCTCTTAAACGGAAAAAGTCAGAGGGAAACAAACCATAAGAGAGTCAAGAAAAAACAGACGACTGAAAATTAAGAAGATGGACACTTCAATGAGCAATTCAACATAGATGAACTAAACGAAGGCATAAAGATGCTTAAAAATAGAAAAGCCGCTGGACTGGACGATATTTGTGTAAAGCAAATTGAAGAATTTGATCCTAAGACCAGACAATGGATACTAGAGCTATTTAATTAAATCAGATCTACCTACAAACTACCCAAAACTTGGAGAAAAGCTCATATAATAGCTCTTCTAAAACCAGGCAAATAACCAACAAACCCCAAAAACTTTCCGACCGGTATCACTTTTATGTCACGTATACAAAACCTTCGAAAGAATGGTTCACAGTCGCATAGTAGGACATATTGACGAAAAATTGATACTACTAGAACAAGCAGGCTAAAAGAAAGGTAAATCATGCATAGGGCATATACTAAATATGACCCAGTATATTGAAAACGGGTTCGAAAAGAAAAACATCACTGGAGTAGCTCTTATAGACCTGACAGCAGCGTATGATACGGTTAGCCACAGGATTCTATTAGAAAAAATCTACAACCTTACCAAAGACAAAGGTTTTACGCACATAATAAAGGCACTACTCCAACATAGAAGGTTTTACGTGACACTAGGAAACAAGAATAGTAGAAAGAGAAGACGAAAAAATGGTCTTCCACGAGGCAGTGTGTTGGTCTCAATAATGCTTTTAAATATATATACAAACGATCAACCGATCACTCCAGGTCCAAGGCATTTCATCTACGCTGACGATACAGCGATAGCAGTTGAAGATAGGAACTTTGAAGGAATAGAAACTAGACTAGACTTAGAGGCCTCACTTAAGACGGTAGAGACTCTCTACTAGAGAGTAATCAAAAAGTCAAAGAGAATTTACCCCTAGAACATAACAATAAATGGTTTTTCCGGAGGACACTAAACCGCTTATGTACAGGAGTTGGACAATGGACGTTCAAGGGAAAACCTAAAAAAATAGGGAATAAGCGAAGGAAATTAAGACACAAACTGTGTATGCAGAGAAGTCCAGACAATGTCGCACCTGCTAAATTGCAACGAATGCCCAATCACGTGTGACGTAACTTACAAGACGCAAATAGCAAGGCTATAAAATTGGCAGAATTTTGGAGCGACATCATTTAAAAACACAACTAGTATCATTATTATTATTATTATTACCATTATCTATTTGGTACATTTTTCTTTTTTTTTTCTATCTTATTTTATTTTATATACCAGTTGATTTTTTTGACTAATTGATATAATGTCGTGTTATTTATAGTTTACTGTTTGTACTTGTTTGTACATTATTTTACCTGTAAAACAACCTGTTACCTCGAATCGTAAAAAAAAGTAGCTAAAAAAAATCAGAATACCTTGAACAATTAATCATGCATAAAAATGGTTATAATATAAACATATGGTGAAAATGTAAAAGTATCTACAGTTATTATTTTTCAAGTTATACAAAAAAAAAAATAAAATCAATGTCACTAAATATTGGTTTGCTTGAATTTTTTTTCCCTTAATTTCTTTTTGTTCTTCCCTACGCATTTGAAAACCCCCAGGAATTTGTTACTTTCGACTCCACTACGTACCACGATAAGCAGATACTCACTTTATAAAGAAAATTAGAGTATTTTTACTACCCTAAAGTATGATCAGACAGAAAAAAACACATTATTGTAAAATGAATACATACATTATTTGGCTTTGCTTAGAATCTAATGTGGAGTTACAGAGGCCCCCTAATAATAGCTCTTGCAGCCAAGACGACCAAACTATCATATAGATTAGGAGAAAAGAAAAATAGTGATCAATATAATCTATACATATTTACACAAGGACGTAAAGTTATATTAATTTTTAATTAAAGAGCAAAATACACTTAAATATAGACAATTAAATTCAACTAAGAAATGTATATAAAAATCTTAAATATTACTATCACTCTGCTTTGAAATATGAAGAATTATAATAAATAAAAAAAGTACTTTGAATCTATTATCAGAAAAAAACGTTTCTTATACATAACAAAATATAGTTTAATTTTTAATACATACAAATAAAAAGGCAAGCTGACATAGAAATACTAATAGGTACAATGGTACATAAAGAACTGTGTTATTTACATTTAAACAAAATGCACATTTGATGAGTAAAATAATAATAACAAAATATTAAAATTATTATTCTCTTATGGCATTATTTGGTTCTAATATTGAATTAGATTCATTTCTTTCAAATACTTTTATTAGTTGAGACAGTGTTATATCATCCCATCTATCGAACATATCACCGGAGAATAAATTTGTGATGTTTTCCTCAATAGAATCTCTAATAATAAAGTTATGTACAAATGTAGGTCTAAAAACAAATAAATATTTTATATTATTATTGTTTATTATGTATTAATAAGTCTAAACATATACATGTATATAATAATTAATATTTATACACTTGTATATATGTGTGTTATTAAAATTATTATTTCAATAGCAAATTATTAATAATAAATAATTTTACTTGGTTTGTCCTATTCTATGAATTCTGCCAATGGCTTGATGCTCATCTGCTTTGTTAATTATCGGCTCCATGAAAAATATTCTCGTTGCTTCAGTTAAATTCAATCCCTTTGAACCCAGGCTCAATTTCATTAATAATGCATTTATTTTCTTATTTGACTAATAAAAAACAAACGTAAAATATTTCACTTTACTAGTCTTCATTATTCAATATTTACAGTAAAACTTCTATTAAAAGTTATCTCTGTGTAACAATAATTTTTTTTGTTCTTTTTTTTTATGAACATAATACATTAATAC